AGCTCCTTCCAGGGCTCGGAGCCTTGCGTGTGATTTCATGGAATCCTCCCCGTCACCCCGGGTGGGAGGTGTTCGTCTCAGGTCGGGCAGACTTCGAGATGAGGATGTGTGTGACAATGGTTTATTAAGGAGTAATCCTAGGGGAATTCTTAAAAAAAAAAAGACAGCGGGGGTGGGTACAGGAGAGGACGTGGAACAGAGAACAGAAAGAAGCCAAGTGAGGTAATGTTGGCTCCATACTGCAGAGGAAAACAGCTGAGATCACACCAGGGGATATCCCCTGCAGGGAACAAGGCAGCTGGGGTCTGTCACTGGGGTGCCCAAGGCCCTTGGGTAGGGCTATAAAACCCTGGGCACCGTGAGTGCCAGTCCAGATTCCGCAGGTAGAGTGGAGGGTGTTGGTGGCAAGGAGTGAACACACGCAGGGAGCCCCTGGGCTTTAGATTCCCTGCCGGATCCAAGGGGAACGTGGGCAGAGTGTCCTCAGCACTGCTGGTTCTCAAATAAACTCTTCCTGGGCGTGGAGGCTGCAGCTCCAACAACAAAGCAGCTCCCCCAGATCGGGACTCGAAGGCGTCCTGCCTGCCGGGACTCCTCCTTACTGCACTTGCTCTGCAGAGAGGAGGACCCTCCTCCACCTCCACCTGCTGCAGCCATAGCTGGGAGGGAGAGGGGAAGGGGCAACACTTAGAAGGGGAAACAGTGGCTCTGGCAGGACCCTGCCCCCTGGGCTGTGCGCCTTTAGGGCTCTTCCCACGGAGTGGGCAGGCAGTGTTTTTGCTAATTGTGCAGTAGCTTGTTTTTGCTAATTGTGCAGTAGCTTCGCCGTCTGGCCATCCATCCCAGCCTCCGTGTGAGTGAGTTGCACCCTCTGGAAAAGGCTTCATCCAAACAGTATTTATCTCCATGTGGGGAAAAGTGGCTTAACAAATTATCTGATGTTTAATTGGTGGGGGAAAGTAGGACAGGAAAGTCGGCCGCTGGACCTGTGGGGTTTTCTGATCAATTCTCCCTGCCGACAGCTTCCTGCGCTTGAGTCCGATAGCGGGTGAGAAGGCTCCTGGGGCAGCCAGTGCTCCCACCTGCTCCCTGGGGTCTCCCAGTCACTGAGGCAGATCCTCTGCAGTGCTGCTCTGAACAGGAACAAGCAGAGGTCCTGTCACCTGCACAGGTGTACATGCCCCTGCACGTTGGCGTTCTGCTGTCAGAGTTGGAGCTTTGAGACAATGCAGCATTTCAGGGACATCACCTACATGGCTGTTTGCAGGCAGTGGAGCCTGGAGCTCTGCATTTTCCCACACTCTGTGGGCTTGAGAGTGAGAGTCAGGGCTGTGGGGTGTCCATGCATGACCGAGTGTCACCCTCTGCTGTGCTGTTCCAGCACTTTCCTTGGCACTTCATTTGGTGCAAACACCCAGGCACATCCTGTGATGGGACCTGGAGTCATGGGAGGCAGCCCCTTCTATCTTGAGCTACTTGGAAGCACTGAGTTGCTACCTCCCTCCCTGAATTCTACCTGGTTCTAAATCCACTTGCAGAGGCTGCAGGAGCAGCTCCAGGGTCTCTTGCACATGACAGTTCTTCACGTGTCGAAAGATGCGCATGCTGTCCTGGCCTTCTGGTCATGAGTTTACACTGCCCCACTGTATGACTCAGCCCCACTGTGGGATGTCGTCCATTTTTGGTCATACTCCAGAGTGTTGCTCTCCCACTGCATTTCCCCATCTGCCCCTCTGCTACTGGGAATCAAGTGCAGGGCTCTATGTCCAGCCTCATGAAGCAGCAGCATCTCTTGAGACTCAGCGTTCTAGTCTTCTGAGATGTTAGGATGTCCTCTGGGCTTTGGAGCAGGTGTCAACTTGATTAGGGTGCCACCATTGTCCTCCACGTAGGCATTCAGGGAATACCCATCTGCCGGGGACTGGGGTGAGCCAAAGCTCAGCGGAGGGTTATCAGACCAGCCATCTCCACTTCTCTCTCCTTACCTCCTCTCCAGGGCCTCGGGGGTCTGAACACATCCGTAAAAGGCTGCACGTTGGGAGTAGAGGGCTGCGGGCTGGGAGGCCAGGGGCCTGCCCTAGCTGCCTCTGCTCCACCTGACTGAGGGCTTCTCCAGATCCACTGATCTTGAGTAGCTGCAGATTCCAACAGGGCTTTGGTTTACTGACTTTGTACAATGTGCACACAGAGTGTCTTTGGGACATGACTCCAGGGCATGTCCAGCTGCACAACTTGGCATCTCTCAGGGCCAACTTTCTTTCAGGTGCAGGAGAAGGCACCTGGAGCCTCTCTCTAAGATAGGAGAAGGAGAGGCCAACATGCCAGCATGTCTCATTTATCCCAGCAAGATAGGATCCCCAGGGCAAGGCCTGGGAAAAGAAGGTAGTGAGGGTGCTGGTGTTGTTAGGACTCCCAGGATGCATGGTTGCATATGAGCAAGTAGAATGGCAGGGCTGGAATCCACAAAGAAATATGGGACAGCAACTTTCTGTCTGCTTCCTGGGAAGGCTGGGGATGAGAGCATGGCTCTGTTCTCCATGTTTGCCTCTTCCTGAGACCCAGGACGTAAAAGGAGTTGACATGCATTGGCCAACAGCAGGAGGCAGGTGTTGTCTGTGTCTTACAAAGGAGCAAATGGAGACCACAGTGGTTCATTGCTGGTGCAATCAAGGCAGCCCCCTCCAGTCCTGGCTCCTGACCCTGTTTGCCTAACCAGGTGCTAGCACCCTCTTGTTCACAGGCCAAAGAGCAGCCCTGCTGGGCTCAGCAGGGGCCCCTGTGCCTGCCCCTGGTGCTCTGTGGGGGCTGTCTATAAAGCACCAGGGTTCTCAGGCTCACCAGGTGTGTCCATGTGCTCTGTTCCCGTGCACTCTCATCTTTGCTAGCAAAGCTGTCCATCTGATGTGGAGGTTGTTCTGCCACAGAACCCTGTGCAGTGCAGGGTGCGCATCTGGGGGTTCCTCTTAGCATGGCTGGTGCCAGCTCTGTCACCTCTGCCCCTCCTTCTTTGAGAAAAAGCCAGATCCCTGTGTATTGATGAGGAAGGACATTCTGGATACGTTGATCTGTAAAAATAAATAAATAAACAAACAAACAAAGGAGTGTTCTGACCAAATATATATTTTATAACCTGATTTTTTTACTTTTTATTTTTCTTTATTATTTTAAAGATTTATTTTGCTTATTTGAAAGGCAGAGTCACAGAAAGGAAAGGGGAGGGGGGAGAGAGAGAGTGCACGAGATCTCCCATCTGCTGGTTCACTCTTGAAATGGCTGCAGTGTCCAGGGCTGGGCCAGACTGAAGTCAGGAGCCAGTAGCTTCCTCCAGGTATCCCATGTGAGTGCAGGGGCCCATGGCTTTGGACCATCTGCTGCTTTCCCAGGTTCATCATCAGGGAGCTGGATTGGAAGTGGAGCAGCCAGGATTCGAACTGGTGCCCATATGGGATGCGCACACAGGCAGCTTTACCTGCTATGCCACAATGCTGGCCCCTAACCTGACTGAGCATTTATCTTAGCAGTTAAGGCATCCCATCCCACATCAGAATATCTAGGTTGAGTTCCTGGCTCTGGCTCCTGACTCCAGTTTCCTGCTAATGTAGACCCTGGGGCCCAGCAGTGATGGCTCAAGTGATCAGATTCCTGTCACCCAGATGGCAAACTTGGATTGAGTTCCTAGCTCCTGGCTCTAACCTCAGCCCAACCCCAGCCATTGTGGACACTTAGGGAGTAAACTAGCATTTGGGAGCTCTGTCAGTCTGTCTGTCTGTGTTTCTGTTTCTCAAACAAAGAACCCCACAGCTGTCTAATGAGCACTTGCAGATCTGACTGTGAAACGTTCCGGAACCTCAGACAGACAACCTTCAGGACATGAATTTGGAGGGATAGGTGGGGGGAATTTCACTAGCTTGGCATTTTTTTTAATGAGGAAGGATTATGGAATGATTTTGAGCATTTTTATTGTTCTATATTTTTCCCAATAAAAGGAGTAATAAGAATTACATTACAAAAATACCAAAACAAAGAAATGGAGCGAAGAAGACTACAATCCTAGAGCCTCTCCGAGGTCCGTAGATGCCTGGCGCAGTCCCAGGTGGTCAGCAGGCAGTGGGCACATGCTTGCCATGAGCATCCTTACAGAATGTGCTGGAAAACCTTCTGTCCTTCCCAGCTCCTCCGCTCTGCCGGCTTTGCAGCCAAGGGAGGGAAAAAGCTCTCCTAGACACTTTCATGAAACACAGCAAGCTGCTGGGTCTTCTCTGCCTTGGCCTCCCGTTCTCTTCAACTACTCAGCCCCATTTGCCAAACACCTGCTACGGGACGGTGGTAGCGTGAGGTCCTGGGATACAGCGGAGGACACAGACCTCTGGCCTCCAACTGGATGGAGTCCCCAGCCTGGACAGGAGATAGATGGAAAGCAAGAACACTGGTAACTGCTCTTTGTGGCTCAGCTGCTCTAAGAAAGAGAACAAAGTGTTCTAGAAGAGAGTGATAGAACGGGGTCACTGCCCAGGGGCTAACAAGAGCCCAGTTCTTGGGGGCCGGAAGAGTAGAGGGCAGCTCCGAGCTGCCATCTCAGTGTCGCTTGGCACCAGCAGATGAGCTGCCATCAACGTCTCCTTGCAGCTTCCCAGTTCCAAGCCTCCGGCAGTGATGGGATCCTTCACAAGGCATCCCTGTGCAAAAGTGTTTGCTGATATCTTTAGGGAAGGGAGGTGTACCCACACCTCCATCCTGCGATGCCAGCAGGGCCCAGGGCTTCTGACCTTGCTCCAGGCTGGTGCACAGAGTGAGGACGCATAACACGTAATCAGTTATCTGTGTTCAGACGAGGGTTCGTGTGGCTAAGGCAGCCAGAGTGGGCTCCAGGGGGATGGCATGTTTTGTGAAGAGAAAATTCTGCAGGAACAGTGTTTACAAACGCCGTCTTGGCAATCACCCTGCGTGTGTGCTGGCTTCTGGCTGGCTTCCGTTCATGTCCGTTCTCTCTCTCTCTGCAGGCTGTGGAGACCAACCTGGCTTCCAAGGACAGCCACTGGGTCTTTGTGAATGAGGTAAGAGCCCCGGAACGGTGAGGCACGTGGCCTGGGCTGACGCCCCGTCCCTTGGGAGACCTCCAAGCAGTCTTTTCATTTCCAGTCCTGACTTGGGGGGCTGGAGTGAACTGTGGGGCTCCACCCTGCCAAGTACAAGGTCAGGGGGTTGTACCTGACCTGCGCAGATGCTGACGTGGAGGAGGCGGGAGCCAGGGAAAGAATCCAGACCTGAGTCCCCCAGGAAGTCGAGAAGCAAAGAGAAGTAGAGTATTGGATGTGCAGCAGGGGCTGGCTGCAGAGGTGAGGGTCAGCTAGAGCAGGGGGCTGGGGCACAGGGCCAGGAAATGAGGAGGGAATGGAAGGTGCTGAGGGTGTGTGGGAGTGTAAGCAGGAGTGCAGACTGTGTGTGTGTGTCCAGGTGTGAAAAATGTGAATATGTGGTAAGTATGTATGTGAGAGTATGTGTGTGTGAACTGTGTTTATTATGAGGGCACAGGGTGTGAGTGTGGGTGTGTATGTGTGTGAGTTGTATGTGTGCATGTATGACTTGTATGTACAGGTACATATATGAGTGTGTGTATGTATGAGTGGAGGCGCAGGCACATGTGAGTGCACATGTGTGAGCATGTGTGTGCAGCCAGTAAGAGTGGAGATCAGGGCTCCCATTTAGAAGAGAATGAAGAGATCTCTCCCATGACTGGCCATCCCACTGGCTTGACCCCTGGGAGGAATGGGGACACAGGGAGTCACCGGGCCTGGTCTGTTCTTTGTTAACTGCACCTGCCCAAGCCCTGGCTTGCCCCTTGCTGCAGGCACTGCCCTGGTGTTGCAGGGTTCTGCACCACATGTCTTCACTTTCCTGAGGAACCCACTCTGCCCACGTGTCCATGGAGGAGGCACCACCTCGGACCTCCTGTGCCTCTGTCTCCTGTGAGCCTTTAACGGAGAGCTGATTTGGGAATCCATGTCCTGGTGTGTGCCTTCAGCTGCTCCTGAATTAGCAGATCAATTTCTAATGGTTTCATCCTGGAAGATGCAGTTTATTAGGTAGTAATTTCTTCTTTTATGGTGTGTGTTTCCTCATTAGCCCATTAGCCCAGCGCTAATATGGTTGAAGTTTTTTTTTTTTTGGGGGGGGGTGGCTACTGTTAATAATTGCGTAGGTGGTGTAGCAGAGTAGCTCCTTGCAAGGTCCACCTCTCTCGTGATTTTCCTGCATGATTTCCCACCGCTGGAGCTGGCCAGCAGCAGACATGCGTAGTGGCTGTCTCTGGCCGTGGCAGTGGAGGGGTTGGGCTGGTAATTAGGCGAAGGGGCGTGACTGCCGCCTCCCTCTTTGCAGAGCCTGCATGAGCCCTCCTTGATCCTGGGGAAGTTTTGATTCTGTGTGCTGTGCAGGCCTCTCCACGGGTTCTTCAAAGCCAGCTTTCCTTTGTTCCAGAGAAAGGGAGCCTTCCGTGTGCCCTGAAGTCAGGTGTCTGGTGCCAGCTCTGCTCCTCTGATCACTCTCCAGGTTGAGCAGCCGTTGTCTCTCCCTTGCCAGTCCTCAGATGTGCGCTCTGGTGGTTTTACATTTTCCTTTTCCTGCCCAGCCCCCCTGGGGCCCTCTGTTTGCTTCTCCTGACTCAACTCCCAGTGTGAAGCATCTTTAGGGTGTTCTGTGCACATCAGCGCTCAGTCAATCACTGATGGCCAGGGAGAGTCAGGAGTCCACCTGTCAGAGCCACGGGGAAACAGCCTCACCCAAGAGCATGGTGGTGCCCCCCACCCCATGGCCAGCCAGGCAGTGCTCACTGACCTGTGAGTTTCTTCAAAGGTGAGGAGGTCTCAAGGGTTTCTTCTTAGGCTTCGCCTTCTTCTTAGGCTTCCTTCTGTGTAAGGAGGCTCTGCTCCTGGGAAGGCAAGGGATAATGGCTAACAATTTTGACCTCCTATCATGTGCCAGTTACTATCCACAGCTACTACCAACCCCATTTTACAGATGGGAAAATGGAGGCCCCCTTGCCCAGGGTCACACAGCTGTGAAATGGTGCATCTGGGATTCTCTAGGAAGACTCTTCTCTAAAGCCCTTTCTTTGCAGTGATGGGACCATGCACTTGACCTTGGCAAAGATCCTGAGCTCACTGTCAGTGTCTGAGTAAAGGCAGTCTGTAGGATTCAGGCATGCACACTGTCAAGGACACTCTTGAGCTGCCCGGCTCATGGACATTCACTGGAAGTCTGTAATCCAAAGGTTGGATTTGAAAGGCAGAGTTACAGAAAGAAAAACAGAAAGATTGATCTTCCATACTCTGGCTGCTGTGGCCAGAGCTGGGCTGACTGAAGCCAGGAGTCTGGAGCCTCCTGTGAGTCTCCCACATGGGTGGCTGGAGCCCAAGGATCTGGGCCATCCTCTGTTGCTTTCCCTGGCACATTAGCATGGAGCTGGATTGGAAATGGAGCAGCTGGGACCTGAACCAGCACCCATGTGGGATGTCGGCACTGCAGGTTGAGGCTTTAATCTGCTGCACCACAGCGTCGGCCCCTCTTTTGAAGCTTTGACCCATGGCACTCAGTGTAGATTCTGGTTAATGGGGGAGGTGTTCTCTGGGCTATGTGTGGGCTTAGCCTTGGGAGCCAGCCATATTCAAAAGCACTATTTTCTGTTACAGCATAGCCCCATGGAAAACATAAGCTGTTGGGAGGGATTTGGCCTAGTGGTTAAGACACCAGTTAAGTTGCCTGCATCTCTTGGGGAATGCTCTGGTGGTGCAATGGGTTAAGCCACCGCTTGCAATTCCAGCATCCCATATTGGAGTAGTCCTGGCTGTCCTGCTTCCAATCCAGCTCCCTGCTAATGTGTCTGGGAAAGCAGAGAAAGATGGCTCAATACTTGGGCCCTGGCCACCCATGTAGGAGACTGAAATGGAGTTCCTAGTTCCTGGCTTTGGCCGGGCCCAATCCTGGCTGTTGCAACCATTTGGGAAGCAAATCACAGATGGATGATCTATTACTCTCTCTGCCTTTCAAATAAATGAATCTTTTTTATTTTTATTGTTTTTAAATATTTATTTATTTATTTGAAAGTCAGAGTTACAGAGAGAGAGAGGCGAGGCAGAGAGAGATCCTCCATCCAATTGTTCACTCTCCAATTGGCCACAACAGCTGGAGCTGTGCCAATCTGAAGCCAGGAGCCAGGAACTTCTTCTGGGTCTCTCACGCGGGTGCAGGGGCCCAAGGACTTGGGCCATCTTCTACTGCTTCCCCAGGCCATAGCAGAGAGCTGGATGGGAAATGGAACAGCTGGGACTCGAACCGGCACCAATATGGGATGCCAGCACTTCAGGCCATGGTGTTAACCCACTGCACCACAGCGCCGGCCCCTAAATGAATCTTTTTAAAAAGATACCCTCATCCTCCATCCTAATGCCCGGGTTCATATCCCAGCTCTGCTCCAGTTCCGGCTTCTTGCTCAAGTGCATCCTCGGAGGCAGCAGAGCATGGCTCATGTAATTGGATTTCTGCCACCCAGATGCAAGACCTGGATTGAATCCTCACTCCTAGCTTCAACCCCTTGGCTGAGGCATTTGGGGAAGGAACCAGTGGATGGGAGCCCCTTCTCTTTCTCTGTCTCTTCTCTACCTCTCAAATAAATAAACAAACATATATTTAAAAATCCACCAAAAGTCCTGTTATCATTACAGCAGTAGGCTATTCTTGCTCTGTAAGGCTTTTCAGCCGTCCAGATGTAGAGTCACAGACAAAGCGCGTCCAGGTACCATTTTGTCATATACCATGACTAGGGATAGGATAAGGTAAAAAAAATGATGTCAAGGGCAGGCATTGGATGGAGGCTCCCCGTCCACCAGGATCTCCAGGACGCAACTGCTGCACCAAGTCCTGGTCTTCCTGTTTCTGGAAACTGCCCTCCACTCGCCTGCAGGAAGTCCCACCCCTCACAGGAGCTCAGACCTCCAGCTCTGCCTCTCCCCTACCTAACACTTTTTTGTTTTTGGACTTTAGCTGTTCCCCTCCTCCCCTCATTCCTTCCAGGGTCTGTCCTCCAGTTTCTTCCTGTATATTTGACTTTGTGTGTTTTTTTTCTTTTTTTCTGGATTCAAGATAAACACTCAAGGGCTTGTTTGCTTTAAGCACCGATTTTCCTAAAATGCCTGCCCCCTCACCAATGAGCACTGGTGTTGCATATCGCAGAGACCTGTTTTATTTGGAGGAAAGGTAATTGGATGCAGAGGATGCCTTGTGAGTCTGGGAGATTCCCTGACAGTTTTTGCAGGTCTGTGGCTTCCACTGTGGCTACACTGGCAAACAGATGCATTTTGGGATATACTTTTTGTGTTTTCATCGGTTGCTTAAGTTACAGGATATTATGGAGGAGGGTGGGGGATTCAAAAAATTTTTTGGAAAGCATTAGTCAAGCTGTGGCCACTAGGCTGTGAGTCCCCTAAGGACAGGTTCAAAGCCACTACATCACCAACTCCTCAATGCCTGTGAAAACAAGAGATGCTTATAAAAGGTTTGGTTGAAGGCAGGTCGATGTACATGACACAGAGCAAATTGCATTGACTTGTGCTTGCCAGTCTGCCTCAGAGAAGAGACAAAGGTAGCAATTAAGACCTGAGCCTGAGACATGGAAGGGCCGCTCTCAAGGGCTCATTAGAGGACTCAGGTTCAAGGCCAGGCAGACCTGACTCACTTCCAGAATCTCTTGACCAACTGGGGTACAATGCTGTTCTCCACATGACCTTGGGAGATGCCGGCTGAGTGGGTCACCCCCAGTGACTCGGGGACATCCTTAGTGTTGAGTGGAGTCTGCACACAGAGGACAATCCCTGCTCTAGAAGCTCATCGTCTGGCCTGCTGGGGACTTTCTGAGGGAAACTCTTGCATGGGATATGCGAAAAGATTATCCAGCTTCCTGAAGAACCGACTGCACTGGGGACTTGAAGCACTGTGCTTGCTCTGGGCTGCTCTCGTGGCTAGACTAATCTTCCAGATGTGGGGCCACAGCACGTGTTGG